CGTGTCACGTGACAATGCAGCGCACTGTATCGTATCATGTCCAGCGATAGTATCTCATCCCCCAATACGGTCCAGGAGAGGGCCCTAAAGTACTAAATATTCAACTAACCATATCTCCTCAACCGCTAAGCCAATTAGGGTGGTTCAAAAACCTATGGACTCCTAACAGAGTCTACTTTCACCTGAGATACCATAATCACTGTACACTCCACTTCCCAGCTCCCATATAGAGAAACATTAACTGCCCCCTGTAGTTTACACCACAACTGATCTTATGACTTGGGTGGATATGGTACTGGGAATGACTTGGCTTGAACAGGTGAACCCTCTGATCAATTGGGGTTCTCACACTATGTACGTTCAAGACCAAGGAGTATACTACTCCATTGCAGGTGTTCCAACAGACAAGGACACCAAGATCGGCACCGTCAAGCATATTGAGATACCCAGCGATCAAGAAAACGACCAGTCTGTACAGTACCTTCATTCTTTGGAGACGTTGGCAACTCCGCAATTTTGGGATTATATTCGTGACGATCGGTAGTGGAGATCAGTTAATCGTCACGATACTTCAGCCAGCATTGCAGGAAACGATGATCAGCAGGCCAACACTGGTGATCAGCAACGATCACCACGTTTCTGCAAACGAACGACCAGAACCCCTCGTGGCGTGCAACAGAAAACAGTGCGCAATACAGCCAGTCAGCGGCAATTTATTTCATTGAAGCAGATGCGCAAGCTGACTGCACGAGGTGAGACATCATATATTCTGATGATCCGCAGTTTTGGCAAGGAGAAAATGCAGTGGCAGCCTAAGTTAACCAAGATAGGACCAGCTCAAGGCAAGAAGCGGTCCGAAATGCTGAAGACAAGCCCAGTAAAACAGTTCAAGACAACGACCGAGGTGATGCAAGATGTGGTTGAGCAGGCCAGCCCTGAGGTCCAGAGTTCACTCAGGAACATCATTCACGATTACCAGGATGTGTTCCCTGAGAAACTACCAAAAGGAGTGCCACCAGCGCGCGAAGTGGAACATGCTATAGAAACAGATGCAGAAGCAGTTCCACCCAGCCAGGCACCCTATAGACTTGGACCAAAGGAGATTGAGGAGATGGAAGAATAGATCAGAGACCTCCTCAGTCAGGGCTACATCCAGCCATCCTGCAGCCCATACGGGGTACCCATTCTCTTCGTGCCCAAGAAGGATGGCAGGTGGCGGATGTGTATTGACTACAGGCTGCTCAACCGTCAGATGAAGAAAGACAAATACCCCATCCCTCAGATCGACGAACTTCTCGACAAGCTGGGCAGTGCACAATACTTCACCAAGCTGGATCTGGCATCAGGTTATCATCAGATAGCCATGAAGGCCGAAGATGTGCACAAGACTGCATTCAGAACGACCCAGGGCTCATATGAGTTCTTGCTTATGCCCTTTGGGCTAACCAACACTCCCGCGACCTTTCAACGATTAATGAACAAAATCTTCAACCGGGAGCTGGGTCAATTCATTTGCGTATATGTGGATGATATCCTTATCTTCTCCAAGAGCCTTAAAGAACATATCAGTCACATCAGGACAGCTCTGGAGAGGTTGAGGACAGCCAAGTTATACGGAAGATTGCACAAGTGTGAGTTCTTCCAGAGTTCTGTGGAATATCTTGGCTTCCAAGTATCGTCCAGTGGAGTTAAAGCATCAGAGGAGAAGATCAGAGCAGTGATCAACTGGCCACAGCCCAGAAGTGCACGTGATATTCGCAGTTTTCTCGGCCTAGCAAACTACTACAGACGTTTTGTAAAGAACTTTTCCAAGATCGCCAGGCCCCTCACTGACCTAACGCAGCTGAAGGACAAGTTTCAGTGGGGACAAGATCAAGAGGCAGCATTCAACCGGCTGAAGTATTCACTGGCTACATGCCCAATTCTACGACTACCCAATTGCAGTCATGAGTTCATCCTGACTACTGATGCTAGTTCTGGATCAGTGGATGCAGTGATTGAACAGGACCATGGACAGGGATTGTAGCCTGTGGCTTATGACAGCCGCAAACTCAGTGATACCAAAGCACAGTATTCAGCTTATGAGTGGGAACTCCTTGGAGTGGTCTACGCTATCGGCAAGTGGCGTCACTATGTTGAGGGACGTCACTTTATAGTGAGGACCGACCACTCATCCCTCAGACACCTTCCAAACCAGCCAAGCGTGAACAGAAGAATATGGAAGTGGATTGCAATACTCTAGACCTACGACTGCACCATATCGCACATCCTAGGAGTACACAATCCAGCTGATGCACTGACGCACAAGGCATGGTTGGAGGATAGAGCAGCTGCCCATCATATCCAAGAAGAAGACGAAGATCTTGTTGAGAGACTATGAGTACCAGAGACAGCAACTGATGAGGAGATACAAGCTGCATTGGACAGAGTATTTCAGCAGTCAGAACCGAATACCATGCAGCTGCCAGAGCCAGATTCAGTTAAGGCTGACATCGACAGATTTTTCCCTGTAGTTGATTCGTTGGAGAGAGTTCCAGCATTGTATGTGACAGAGACTCAGGTCGAGCTGGAACAGAATTTTGCTAATGAAATGCTGGCGCAGTTGAAGCTGGAGGAGCCATACAAGGAAATCATTGACGGATTGGAAGATCCAGATACACCATCGACGTGGGTCCGAGAGGAAGGCATTTTCAAGCTCCAAGGGGACCTACTGAAGATCCATCGACCACACCATGATGATGAGATGGACCAGGAGCTGCCTTACTGGAGGACAGTGGTGCCACAAGGAGGCGAGTATCGGTCACGTATTTTACAGGAAATTCATGCCGTACCGTACTCAGGACACCCCGGTGTGAACAACACGATTTTGTGGGTACGTCATCAGTTTTGGTGGAAAGGGATGATCAGTGATGCACGGGATTTTGTTCTCAGCTGCCCCGTGTGTCAACAAGAAAAAGGGTCGTATCTGATGCCAGGTGGCAAGTTGCAGCCACTCAAGATCCCAACACAAAAATAGGATCAAGTTGTTATTGATTTTGTGATGGACTTACCAGAAGATGAGGGACACAACGCTGTGCTCACAGTAGTCGACAAAGCCACCAAGATGGCATATTTTCTGCCTTGTAGTAAGTCGATTACTGGGAAAGAAACGGCGCAGCTGTTTTGGAATTTTATGGGGTGCATCCATGGAATCCCCTCTACGATTATTTCAGATCGAGACGTCCGTTTTACATGATCTTTCTGGCGGGAGCTATGGCGTATTTTGGGAACTGGTTTGCGCATGGGGACTGCCTATCATCCCCAAAGTTCAGGTCAAGTTGAGTGATATAACCAGGTCCTCAGTCAGCTCCTCAGGTGTACGATTCATCAGGTGGGCGATGGTGCTCACTGGACCCAACTCATCCCGACGATTCAGTTTGCGGCGAACACGGCTCCCAACCGTTCTACAGGGTATACTCCATTCCTCCTGAATTTTGGTAGATATCCGACGACTCCCGTTCAGTTATTGGATCACCAGCAGATCAGAACGAAGACAGAAGCCATCTCAGCATTTGTTCAACGACTCAGAGACCAGTTTGCGAAGGCCCAAGTCAACATGAAGCAAGCAGCTGACCGGATGAAGTCCATCACCGACAGACGACGACGTGATGTGGTTTTTGCTACAGGAGCATGGGTGCTGCTCAGCACCAAACATTTGAAGCCGGAAGGATCAGCCAAGTTGCAGCGCCGTTTTGTTGGCCCGTTCAAGATTTTAGAGCGGATTGGCACCAGTGCCTACCGTCTTGAACTCCCTGCTTCCTGGTCCATTCATCCCGTCTTTCATGTTTCACTTCTCAAGGACTACCGATCATCACACCTTTATCCTGCTGCCGATCGCCTTCCCCTCTTGGTCCCTGCTAAAGATGCTGAGCCCGATGTCTTCGACGTGGAGCGTATACTTCGCTGGCGCTGGAGTCCTGGTCATCGATGAAAGAAGGAATACCTTGTGCTGTGGAGCGGCTACCCCATTGACGAAGCCACGTGGGAGCCGGCGTCCAACTTTACCAGCCCTGGAGTTCTTCGCGGACTACTCCACCGTGACAAGCCCTCTGAAGCTCATTGATTTTTCTTGTCTACTGCTGTTCGCCCCACTTCCTCTTTCTCAATTCGAGGATGAATTTCCTTCCCCGGGGGGAGTGGTTTGTGGTAATTTCGTGCACTTTGTTTGGCGAACTGCTCGTGGGACTATGTCTTGCAAGGAGTACTACTATTGCACATACGTTAATGACCATCGTCTACCGTCGATTGTGACAGTGTTTTGGAAGCCTTCGTTTCCATCCCCGTGTTCGAAGAATGGTGCAACAGACCCCTTTCTTGATTTTCAGAAAAAAAAGAAAAGAAAAACTTCAACACCACATCCCTCTCTGGCGTGGTTCTCGGCTCGATCCGCGGGCGATGTGCCCGCCGCGGCGCCCAATCCGGCCCGAATGGGCCTCCTCCGCCGAATGACGGCGGGCGGTCCGGGGCGCTCGTTCCTTCGGGGTGCGCAGTGTGGGCCCAGTCCTGCGATTCGCCGGGCGCGGGGCGGCAGTGCGCGCAATGGGTGCGCGACGCCAGTGCGGCCTGCGGGTGCAGCCGCGCGGAGGCAAGTGGTCAGCAAGAGTTACAACTGGTCGGGCATCGGGGCCACCCTTTGGCGTGCCCCGCATCACGTGACAATGCAGCCAACGTCACCGTATCGATAGTATCTCATCCCCCAGTACGGTTGTGGAGGCGTCCCTAAGTACTGTAACTTCTAGTAACTATATCTCCACTACCGCTAACCCAAATGGAGTGATTCAAAAACCTATGGGTTCCTAGTAAGCTCTACTAAGAGATGAGATTGTTCTTTACTGTTCATTGTACCTCCCAGATACCCATAATCAAAGAAACACACTACCCCCTGTGCTTTACACCACACTCTCGACAAGACCAGTTAGTCGTCAAGCAGCACCCACACAGGACAGCCGGGGCTGCCGGCCATGTGGCTCACCACTGGGACGCGCGGCCTGGCGGGCCTCCTGTCCAAGCGCCCAGCCTTCGGCGCTGCAGCCCTGGTCCTGATCCGCCCCCTGGGCTCCTTCGCGTCGCACACCCAGGGCGAAAAGGAAGTCGAGAACAAGCTGCGCGCGTCCCTCTCGGTCGCCCGCCTGTGCGTGTCGGACGTCAGCGGCGGCTGTGGGACGATGTACCACGTGGACGTGGCGGCGGAGGAGTTCAGGTGGGTGTGCATCACAAGTCCTTCGATGGGTCCTCTCCCCCCCCCCCCCCCGGGGCACCCGCACCGATTTGTTCCTTTCCATTGACGACGCGTGGGGCGTGGCACGGGTGTTTTTGGAAAGGGGAAGGGGGGAAAGCTGGCGATCGGCTCCGTGGAAAGGAGCCGGGCACCAGCGTTGAACGGCACCGGTTGGGGACAAGGGTTGGGAGGCAGTCTAGCGTACGAACAAGATCCAGGTGGGCTGCAAGAGTTTCCTAGCATTGCCATGAGTGGGTGGAAAATTGACTCCGCCGCGTCCCCAGCGAAGGGAAGGGATTGTACAATGTGAGTTTTGTAGGCCAGGTGCGCCAGGTGGCGCCGGCTGGTTGACTGAACTGGGATTGTCATGCCATCGCTAGGCTATGCCTGATGTTTGCTGCACTGTGCGCCACGCCTGTCGCCACTGGGAGGGGTGCAGCTCGATCTTGCGAAAAGGGGCTCTTGGATTGTTTTACGCCCCAAGTTTTATCCCTGTTATTGTGCAAGCCGGAAAGCTGATGCTGCTGAGCCCAGATCATGTCAGGAAGTGGGTATCTGCTCGCTGGCAAGCGGCTCAAGAAGGCACTCAGCAAGTGCAAGTCCAGTCAATGGATGCAAGGCGTGCATCATGTGCCCATACACAACAATAGCTGGTATTTTGACAGTGACTTCCCACATTCTGTCACAGAACATGCTGTTGTGCACAGATGCCTCTTATTGTGTTTGCAGCATGAGCAGAAAGATGATTGTTTAGCAGCTGTCGCTGCTGTTCGTCAGAGGGCAGCAATAACTGACTTTATGTCACCATGTTGCGATGGTAAATCTCTGATGTTTCTGTAGCCTGAATCTCATACCCCAAGAGCTGCCACCTTCTTCATTAGAAACAAAGGAAGATATGCAAGAGACAAAGATGCCCCCCACTTATGTGACCCAACAAACATCACACACCAGCCACCACCAAGGATAGGGCTATTAGCAACATTGCAGTGTATAGTATACAGTGTATGCTTGAAATCAGGGCTGGCAGTGGCTCACACATATACTGCTATTTTGATTGCCTATTTAAGACTTTAACATTTGCTCTCTTTTTGCCTAATGAGGATATCAGGGGCTGTTTGTATGACTACTGGTCTCCAATAATCGGTTTGGTCCTGTGCCATACTGTTGTAGTTTCTGTTGTTGTGCGATCTTGTCCACTGTTTTTTGTTGTTGAGCGTGATGAAAAGGCAGCATGCTCAAGATGATGGACTGTTGGACTCCACGGCTTTGTTGCTCTGACATTGTGCACAGATATGAGAAAGGTCAACCCCGATTTGGCAGTTTCCTTTGCTGCATCCCAGTGTGGCAAGCTGAACAATGCGCTCCATGAACCAGGTCAAAACTCATTGACGGATCAACCAAAAATACAGTCCCTGTCACCGTACACACTGTTGATCGTTTTTGGTGGCTAATGCCAGCTATGACCCTCTTCTGTTGTGCGCCACATTGCCTTCTGTGGACGAAAAGGGATTGGCTTTCACACAGATGCTAAGGTTGGTTTTTACTGCTTCACAACAATGTGAGTAATTATGCGTTAATCCTATACTATCAAACTTGACAGGGGAAAGAGCACAGTGCAGCAGCACCAGCTGATCACCAAGCTCCTGGGAGAGGACATCAAGAAATGGCATGGATTCACTCTGAATACAAGTGTTCCGGACAGCCAGTGATGACACAGTGCACAGTTGCGATCATGATTGGAGAATGGATGAATGGCACCTTGGGCCCCAGGGCAGCAGGCTGCACATTTTGGACTGCATTGCTGTGCTTACCCCTGCAACAGACACTGGCTGATGGTGTTGCAAGAGATTCCAACATTTCCTAGTAGAAAGTGGAAGGGCGATGATGTGTTACAATGTGACAAATGTCATCAATGAGGACTTCAGCTCCTGGGATTTTGTGAAAGAGTTGTGGAGAGTGAGCTGTGGGATGCTAGCAAAGTTGGGCTGTTTGCCTGTGTGCATTACAATGGAGTGACTTATATAGTGCCCTCTCGATAGCACCCAGCCTCCAATAGTGCACCATTTGTTGGCTTAGCACCTTTTTGTAGTGCGTTTTGTGGCTTTGCTGTTTGATGGGACCGAATCAGTATATTAGGCACTCAAATGCACCCAGCAGAAGTGTGCTAGCGAAATGCAACGCGTAAGTGCACAATTTACTAAGATTTGAAGTTCACTCAGCTGGAGAACAGACCTGAACATTGCCTGAGGTGTTTCTGATGGCAACCAAGTCACCAGTGGTGCCAGAGAACTGTTCTTGTCATGTCATGTGTGGTAGCGTTTCAGTTCCAGCACAATGCTATGACACTGTGCCATTATGCACAGCATAAGCAAGTGCAATGTGTCAATTTCGCTTGCAAAAGCTGGTATCATTGGAAATGGACCTTCTGATGCGAAGGATGCGAAGGGAGGTCTCATGTGATGGATTGAATGGTGAATAAGTGCACTTAAATGAGTTAACATTGTTAGTGCCCAGCCCCAAACAGCGCCCTGTGCGGGCCATGTCAGAGTGGGTGGTGGTGGGGTTTGATGCATCGAAAATCAGAGCTTTTAAATGCACCTTGTATAATTTCACCAAAGGGCGTCTACTACCCAACAGAGGAATGACAGCAGATTCCAGCAAAGCGCTCAAAGATGCTCTGCCTGATCACAGAAGGTGCTTTGTTCATGGGTTCCCTCTATCTCATTGGCTCAGCTGAGAAGCCCAATTCCATCGCCACCAATACAAGTGATGTTTTGAGCTTGCCACGGCCATTACACAACACCGTATTCAACCGTTTTGCGTTTTGGAATTTCTATGTTACGGTAGTGCTCCACGTTTCTTAGATGGACGATTATTTATTCTTCTTGCCCTCTTCATCATGTTCACCGCAGGAATGGCAACTCCACACAAATCACATGGCCTCAAATCCGGGTTTTCCGGCGCATTAGCTCACGTATCTGGAGCCGATAGACGCCGCAAGCAATCCAAAAGACTCTCGTGCGGCTTCTAGGGACGTCCTACTCAGCAGGGGCGACTTCCAGACGGTTTTTGGGCTCAACGCAGTCACCCAACGGAAATGTGGCTTGCGGCGAACACGAATCTTCAAGACAGCCAGGAAGTTTTCTTAATTGCTCCACATATTATTTTGGTACACTTTTTGTTGTTGCTCTGCAAAAAGGGCCTAACGTTATGTTGCGATGTGAAAGGTTTGAAAGAGCCACGCTATACGAAACTGCAATTGTAAGGCCTCGTGGGATCGTGTCCCGTGCGGCCCCCTTTTCTGCATCAGCCCGGGGTTAGGGGAGGTCACAGCCCAGCACAGTCATGGTATGATGTGACAGTTGGGTGTGCACACATGCTGCCCAACCTTACTAGTGCAATACCAGGTCAGAATATATTCGCACATTCCAATTTGCGATTGCATGGCTCATGCAGTCGCGGAAGTGCCAAGGGTCACATCAGCACAGTCCCAAGCGATCGCAGGTTGGTATGTAACAACCATACGTCAACAAATGTCCCTGGAGGTAGGGGTGGAGAAGCAAAGGGATGCCAGGGAGCCTTTAAAGGGTGGTACCATTTGTATTGAAAGGCCAAAGAATTTTACCTATTATATTGTACATCTGGAAATTCGGCAGGCGTTGATGCAATGTTAATGAGCGTTGATGCAAGGGGGGCCATTGAAGCAATGGCCCTCAATATTGCTGAACTGCCCTTGAAACAATGGCTCTTGGCATCGGCGTTTGTCAGCGCTCCAACAAGGCATCTTGATACAACATTCCCAAGCAAGCAGTGTTCCAGCAATGTTGCATCAACGATCCATTTATCAGCCTGGAGATGCATCCAGAAATTTGGCAGCCTTTGATGCATCATTGATAGGCCCTTGGATCAACGCGAACCTTCGGAGCTCGTGTCTGTAGAGCGGTGTTGATGCAATGGCCTGTCAATGTTGTATCAACGCCTAGGAGATTTCCGGATGTATGCAGGAGAGGAACTCTTGATGTGTATCTGTTTGTGACTCATCAACACCACAAAACGCTATCAGCGCAAACCTGCAAAATTCACCATTTGAGGGGAAGCTGTCACCGTTGCTTAATCAATTTCAAAGTGCCAGCTACATGGCACATTTCTCAGGTCAATAATGACTTGTTCTACCTTCCTCCATGTATCTTTGCTTGCATGCGCAATAATATACTACTTCCTATGTCCGGAATTACATCCTCTATGACTTTGGCGCCTTACTTCTCCATCATGGAAGCTCCGGTTTTCAATGAAATTTCTTTCAAAGATTTGACTATGAGTTGGGATTTCGGTCAAAAAACAAATCAATCCGTTAAGAATTTAGGGCTTGGCAATACTTTGTAGCAGGGGTCTTTTACTAGTGCACCTCGACTTTTTAGTCAAAAATGACCAAAATCTATCTTTGTCCCAGCATTCAAGTGGTCGTGACTCACTTTTTATTCTCGAAAGGTGGTATTTCAAGGGTTTCAAGACCAATCTGTGCGATTTGAACTCCTTTTGTGATTTTGAGGCTGTGCGTGTGATGAAATATGTCCCTCAGGTAAAGGACAATTAATTCCAGATGGAGGAAAACTAGAAGAAGGACATATTGTATGCAACACCTGCATGTAGTTTCAAGGTAATTTTCTGGCCTTCTTTCTTTTCTTTCTGGCCTTCTGGGCTTCTTCCTCTACTTCCCTAAACGTCTCAAGGCTACTAAGCACTGGTGCCAAATAAGACAATGGAGCCGCAACATTCTGATACCACTCATTAGCAAATTTGCATTCATTTCCTGTCCTTCAAGGATGGGAGACGAAGAAATAGAGCAGCATCAATTGGGAGTGCAATATACAATCCCGGCTGTTGAACTGATGTGATGGGCATCCTGATTGTCTGACAGGGCAATCCGGCTGTATGCATCTTCCTTGCCATAAAAAGGGTCCGCAACATCATTAGAGCTCCAG